CACAGACTGGGTTAGTTTTGGTGTCCACAGGTGCCTTTTATTGATTCTGCAGCTTCATATCTGGGAGAAGCAAGAAAGTGTCTCCAAATAAAGCTAACCAGGTTTTTCAGGCATCGGGGTCATGAATTACCTTGTGCACGTTTACAGCCTGCTCTGTGCACTTGAAACTACAGCCTTTCGAAAGAAAAGAGGAGATTATTAGTTTATTTTCCATCCTTTTGTACAGCTCACTTTTTGTTTTCTTCTTTTCTATCCTTTTCCTGAGTCTGTCATGTTTAGTGGCAGGTTGTTTACTCACAAGGAAGTTGTCAGGCATTGAAAGAATCCAAGTCCAGCCCTTGGACGTAGCAACAGTCCTGGGTCAGCAGACTTATGATAATAAGAGTTTGCAAAGTGATTTTGGAAGTAGGAGAGTCCTTGCCACGCCAGGATCTGGCATTTCCTTCCAGGTGGATAAGTCAGGAAAATTGGTGCTTGCAAATGTTCTGTCAAGGCTCATGTGGGCATTGTTACCATAGAAAATTGTCCCTGTCCTCTCAAGGGATGTGGAACATCTGTGGCAGGGGGAGGCGGTGTCTTCAGAGCAGGTTGTTGAAACCAGGCTGCCCAGGAGCCTGGTTGGGAGTGTCCTGGTGGCACCTGACCAGAACAGCTGAGGTCCAAGGGCCAGCTCAGCCTTGCTGTCACCTTTCAGTGCCTCTTGGACAGGGCAAACAATCTCAGAACTGCTTTTACTCTCCGGCACTGCCTCCGAGCACTGCTGCTCTTGGTGCATGCAGACTCTGCATAGCTTTGGCACTGGATTGCTGTTCCTCTCCAAAGGTTCCAGGAAGAAAAAGTTCAAAACCAAAAACTCCAGTGGGTGTGTTTAAGGGCTTTTGAGTTTGGGATAATGATCTGCAGCTCATTAGATGGCAAGGGACTCACAAAGACGCGGCTGAGCCAAAAACCCGTGAGTCATCCTCCTCTCTGCACCTGGGTAGGATGTGTGTGGGATGGAGATGGGGCTCCAAAGAGGATGACTTGGAGTGTGCTGTGAAGAGGAAAGCAAACAAAAAACCCACTGCCTTCTGTGCACTTTGACTGTTCTCTTAAGCCATATGGACTTTGCTTTAATTACTGAACTGCCAAAATTTGTTTTCAGTCTGCGTTTTTTGTTTCTTAGACAAAATTATCTACGTGACTTTCTGATTTGTTTTCCTTTTCCTTTGTCATTTCCTGCATCAGATTACATATTTTAAACATGTTTTTATACATTTGACACAGCAACTGTTCTTGGAAATTTAATGGCACTTGTCCAACAGGTGTAAGAGGTAGTGCTGCAGGAGAAGCTCTTCAAGGACCACTGAGGACTTTAGGGATGTAAATTAGTAGGAGGTAGATGGGACACCGAAGACTTTGCTCCAAAGGAAAGCATAGTATAACTGCACATCTTCTGAATATTGCCAGATCTCAGTTGGTGTAGGGTGCAGTTACTCCCTGGGGCTGATCTGATACCACATTGAGAAAAAAATCCAAGAAAACAACAGGGAATAAAGGAAATGGACTTTGTGGCCACTGCTCCACTGAAGGACAACATGGGGAGCAGCACAATCTATACAAAGTGAGAAAAGACTGTTCCTTTTTTCTCAGAACCAGCTGCAACTAAAAAGCCTGAGCTTGCTGAGGACCTGCTGAGTTGGCTGTGTGGCTCTTTTCTTCTGACTGCTGACAAAATACCAGGTTAGGTGTGATTCCTTTAGGACCTGTTGATCCCAACAAAGGTATTTCTGTCCCATTCTCGTGCACACTGTTGTCAGTCTTGGTTATGTTGTGTTGGTGAGCTGGCTGTTGTGACACATGGGTTTATTTTTGATAGGCAGTTGCAGAGTGAGGAGGTGCAGTGCCCTGCTCAGCCCTCAGCTGAGCACAGGATGTGTTTTCTGCTGTGCAGGATCCTGTGTAGCTCCATGTGTGATGCCTCCACCTTCTTGCTAACACGCTCAACCTGTAAAATATGGTTAATAGGTGGCTTTTATTTACTTCACATATCAGGGAAATTGTTTTATCTGGAAGGAAATACTCCATCAGTTAAGAAGAGAGCTCTATTTCATTGCTGCAATCTTTGGGAATTGCAGCCTTGAAATACAACTTTTAAACATTAGTTGTCATGTTACAGTAACTTCACCCATTGAATTTGCTTCCATTTCCATCTTCCTGTTTAGAATAGTCTTGAAAAATGAAGGCTTATGTTTAGAATGCCTTCTTAGGATATTTTATTTTTATTTATTTATTTCACTTCCCCTGTTTCTCAGGTCTCTTGGTGGCTATTACTGAAAAATGAAAGCAGCATCATGAAATGACCAAGGGAGACATTTCAGGGAGTGGTTTAATAGGAGCTTGTTTTTCATGCAACAGCCATAACAATATCCAGTCTCCTGCAGGTAAAAAGTGCCCAGGTCTTCACCCCCTGCCAGGGCTGAGGTGACACCAGTCATCACTGTCAGCAATGCTCCCAGCCCCAAACCTCAGCTTGTCCCTGTCATAAATCACGTGCAGAAGTGCACACATGAAAAGAGCTGTGCTCTTCCAGCCCACTCTGAATAGAGCATTTTATTGCCCCCAAAATCTGTGTCACAGTCCTGTGTCCTCACCATGGCCCACACCCTTGGGTGGAGCATTTTCCATTCCTGCCTTTTAATGCTCTGATGTTTGGGCAGGGCCAGCGCTGTGCAGGTACAAATGGCAGTGGTGACAAGGGACAGGGGAGGGCACTCCCTTGCTTTCATCAGTGACAGTGTCTTATTCCCTACCCTCCGAGTCAGTCATGTCTTGTGGAATGCCTTCATGGGGAGGGCAGGGAGAGGTGAGAGCAAAGGCTTTGATCAGCATTTACTAAAGGAATCACACTTTGGCCAGCGATCCCACTTTTGGGAGCAGCTGGCATGACTGGAGAGAAGAAATAAAAACACACAGAAAAGAAACTAATCTATTACTCAAAAGATTTTCTTTTCCCTCTTCATTCTGAGTGTTAAAACCAGTGATGTCTTGCAGATGTGCCAAGATCTCATTTTTCTTCCTTATACCAAGGTCTCTGCCAGAAGCTGCTGTAGCAATTGTTTGGACTAAGTATCTTGACATGGGGATGCATTTATTATCCTTGCCATTGCTTCCCTCAAGAAATCCATTGGGTCATCCAAAGATTATCTAATCCACTTTCCAGAAAAGGAGGGGAGAGATCTTTATACATTCAGAGCACTGGTGTCTTCTCCCACACATTGCTTTCAGATATACAGGGCAACTTGTCGGCAAAAAATCCTTTCAGAAAAGGAATTTATCAAAAACTTTAAAAGAAAGCAAACAACCACATAAGAAAGATAACCTCTGGCAGAGGCATTAGAAACCTTGAAATCCAGAAGCCTGTGGTGTGTAAGAGTGACCTGTACCAGTAGCATCCAGAAGGGCAATGAGGGGTGATGTTTGGAAAGGAAGAACCACAAAGTGTTGGGACATGGGCAGGTTGTACTGCAGACAGCTCCACTCAGCCTGCAGTTCCTGCTAGTTCAGTCACATTCCTTAAGGCTGCTTGTATAGGTTGTTGCCAGCACACGTGGAATCCACACATTATCAAGGTGTTCCTAGAAGCTACGAGGTTCCGGAGGTGGGGAAAGGTTTGTTGGTGTGGTGTTCAAACAAAGCCACACGTGTGATGATGTGGTTCCAGAAAACCCATTGAAACCTCCTTATGGAAACCACCCTGGAATTAGGAGCATGTTCACCCCAAGCCTGAAATGGCTCCACCTGACAAGTCATAGAATCCCAGAATGGTTTGGGTTGGAAAAGATCTTAAAGATCACCTTGTATGAATCCCCCTGCTGTGGGCAGGGACACCTTCTACTGGACCAGGTTGCTCCAAGCCCTGTCCAACCTGGCCTTGGGCACTTCCAGTCCCTTCTGTTCTTTGTATTTCTGTACTCCTTTTGTCCTCCCCCTGCCCTCCCAGCAAAAGAAAGCTGCTTTGCACTTTGTGCAGGTGTAGAGTTTGCCGCACCCGACAGCAGAGAGCCACAGTGGATAAGCACACACCTGACACTTGGGACAGGTGAGATTTGTTTGAACAAAGAGTGAAGTACCATTAGCATTTGAGATTCAGGCTCTGACTCAGAATTTTATCTACTCAAAGCTGCCACTTTCCCACTTTAAATGGCCTTGGGGCCTCAAGACTTGACAGGAAATTCGTTATTTCAATGCTGTTTGATCACTGTGCACTTTCTTGGGGCTTGAATCACTGGATACAGACAGGAATGGGGTTACAGAGTTCTATATCAAGGTGTTTTCCCATTTGTGTCCAATTCACTAGATTTGGGAATTTCTGCTACCATGGAATGGTGGCATTCTGCAGGTGGGAAGTGCCACCAGGGCTCCCTGTGATGTCATTACACCCCTGGGCCTTGCTGGGGCCTGTCACAGTGCAGTGGGAGCTCTCAGGTAGCAGAAAGGTGCAAGAACCCCATATTCTGGTGAGTTTGTAGCTGGTCACTTTGCCTCTCTTGGGCTGGTGTCTGTCCTCTGATTTGGTATCTGCTGTCAGCTTAGGGGTAGGAGCACCTCACACAGCTGTGTCTGAGCTACCCTTCGGTGTACTCCGGTTATCGGATCATTGCTTTTAATTCAGTGTCTCCTTGGAGATTTGCCCTGGATTTTTGTTCCACACCTCTTGTTAGCCTCACCTTCACCATTCCACTATTTTATATGAGAAAGTTACTTCTTCTTTTGCAGACTTGCTTCTGATTAAAAGAACCCTTTTGGAAACATCTGTGTCCTTGGTACATTTGTTCTGTAGAAGGGAAAAAAAAGTTTTATTCCAGACTCTTCTGTTGCTGAAGAAGTTTCTGGGTACCTTGCCAGCATGCTCATGGGTTAACAGCTCAGGACACTGAGAATGTAACATGGACTGGAATTCCTCACTGTTTGCTCTAGACTGTAAAATCTTACAACCTCTGCTACTTCTCAGCTAAGCTGACACTCTCAAATAGTTTCCACACAAAATTTGATCATTCTTAAATATTTTATTATTTTGCAGCAATAAACTTCCTCAGATCCTTAGTACAGGAGAGTCAAAACCCACCCAGAAACAGAAACCCATGGGGCCAACATTTTTTATGCCATTGTCCCCTCCCCAGCAGTGTTGTAGCAGTTGTTAATCAGTTCCCACAAAGGTGCAGATGTTGGGGAGACAGGAACAGATCCCAGCTGGGGGAAATCAGGGCAGCTCTGTTACTCCAGGGTGCTTGGTTGTGCTTTTCAACCACTGAGCATCTTGCCTCCAGAAGTAAACTAAACACAGTCAGGTCAGCTACAGCTCTGGTGGGAGAAATGAGGGCAAGAAATCAATGTTTTCCAAGTGGGAGAAGGGAAGAAAAAAAATAGTCAAACTGTGAAGGAAAGAACTCATATCCTCCTTCTCCTGAAAAGGATATTATAAATAATGCAGTGTTGTATAAATACAGGCAGTCCTTTGCAGCTGGGAGCTTGTAATAACCCAGAGGTATCACTGTACCCATTTTGAAGATGAAAATCCTCCCGCCACAGCATTTTGTGAACGAGACATTATCCTGCAAAATTGCCAGAAGGTGCAGAAGTGCTTTTTTGGGGCCATTTGGCTCCGAAGTGTATCATGCTGTAGCTTCCAGCCCTTACTCTTCTCGGGATGTGTTTCTCCCACACGTTTTTGTGGCTAGGATTTGAGCACGGACATAAACATGGGAGTGGATGGGAAATCTGCCACGGTGTTCGTAGCCTAAACAATACCAGAGAAAACAGATTGGCTTCCCGCCCTGCCCTGAACAGCACAAGCACTGGCTTGACTGAATCGAGTAATCTGGGCTTTCATTACTGATCCTTTTCCTGCTATTTGTCTCTTTTGTTCCCTCTTTTTCCCTCTGCGTTTTTGCTCCAGGGTTATTTATTTTTCTCCTTGCTCCTTTTCTTTTCTGGTTTTTCTTTTGTAAGCCTGACTCTTGTTTTTATTATTTTTTTCCTCTCTTCCTCTTGCCTCACTAATTATTTTCATTTCAAACCTGCATTTCCCACAAAATCAAAAGGAACTTCATGTGAACACATGTTTTTTGTTGGGGTTTTGTTCACGTCCACTGTGCTCCAGGAGTTCTTTAGCTTTGCTGTCTTGTTTACTTGGAAATGCTGGGCACGTCCCTCCAAGCCAAGGCGGTGTGGCCGCTGACTTCCCAGCCTGGTAGAAACCTTCATTAAGCAGGCAATTGGCATGTTCATCACCATTTGTTAACGAGTTAGGATAATCCTAAATCAGACGAGGCTGACTGTGAAGTCATTCTTCGAGGCTTTACAAGGCAAATTTGTCAGCAGCGCTGAAACCTGTGAAGTCTTGTGGAATCCGAGGATCAGCACCTGCCTGTGGAGGAATGAGGAAGCTGCAAATCGTGTTTGCGTGACAAAAATGTGTTCAGAGGAAGAAGGGACCAACACCCACTGTGTCACTCAAAGGTAATTCCCTGCTTTGTGCAACTTCCAAGGGGTTCTGTGCAACCTTTATGCTGATGACACACACCCTAGAAAAGCACCTGGGACAAAGCCAAGGATTTGTTCTTTACCCTGAGCTTCCATAATCTGAGTTTGTGCCCTTATGCACTTCACTGAAGGTGTAGATAAGGCTAAAAGGCAAGCTGGGGAAAACAGCCTGTGTAATACAGCCTGGGGCCTCATGCCAAGAGTGACAAAATGCCTAACAAATACAAGTGACCTCACCACAGCCCTTCCAAATTGGGAAGGATGAATATCCCACTTTTGATAGGAGGAAACTGAGGCACAGGTCAGTTTTGCCTGTGGGATCAAGCCACAGTCTGTGTGGCTGCTATCAGTGTGCCCAAGTGGCCTTGACTGCAATGTCCTCAGCATAGGGCAAAGAAAACACATCTTTCCTACAGAACAGCAGGATGAGTTATTTCTGGGTCTTTATAAATTGTCTGTTTTCTAGCACTATCATTCTTACCCTACCAGGGGAACATGACTGACCTAATTAGAGCCTAATTCCAACAGTATATACAAAGTTTGTAAATACAAACTTTTTCAATCCTGAGTAATTTTTTATGAATGTACAAACACATCTGATTGGTACAAACACCCCAGAGGTGCGGGGCAGGTGAGGAGCAGGGCAATGGGAGTCATCAGAGAAGCTGAACTGTGGGAAATTTGGGATAAATGAGGGCAAATTTTCAGATGTATTTATGAGACTGATTTAATCTGCTGGGAGAGTGTATCCTCTGGGATTAAACCTCACATAACCTGATGTAAATTCGGAAATGTTTTATCCCCAGCTGTGGGGAGCACTTGCAGAGAGGAAGGATTCAGAATTTCAATCCTCTGTCCAGCAAAAAACATCCACAGTGATCGATGAGGACACTTTCATTGATCCATACCTGTCTCCACACCACAGAAGAAATTAAAAGGTGAGAGAAAGATGCTTGTTTTCAATGAAGCCCATTTCAAAAAGCCACCAAGGGTTAATCCAACCAGCCAAATGCTCGGCTTTAGCTGCAATAGAGAAATCCTCTGAGGTTGAGTGATAAGCCTCCAGCCATACCTGCTCAGATTCTCAAGGACTGTGCCGGAACGTGTTGGGGATGGCTCACATCCAGCAGCTGCTTATAGGGAGTCCACAATGCCAAATGACTCAAGAGCCAGCTTCACCCTGCCCTGAGTACATACCCAGCATGTGTCCAGAGAAAACATCCAGAACCCAGGCAGTGGAGACAGAAACAATGGGCCAAACTCTGCCCTTGGGCAGCGATGTGGCTGTGAGTGCTGGGTCTGGCTGAACAGAGATCCTGGCTCTAAAATAGATTCCAGAACACTGGATTGTTTCTAATGTGTTCTCGTGAGATAGGGCAGGTTTGGAGGTAAGGGGATGGTGGTAGAATGGGCTGCATGTCATGTGTTTGGAGATGATGGCTTCAGGGTCATGTCATGATTTTTGTCTTTTTCTGCCTTGACTTCTGGTTTGGAAATGGCTCAGTAGAAATTGAGGTCATTGCAAGTGGTGCAATGACACTTTCTGGAAAGCACTGGCTGCTTCATGCAGTGAGACTGAGCTACCAGCTGGGAGGTTTGAAAAGCCAGAGCTGTTCTCTGGTACAATGTGAGACAGGCAAAGGAGAAGTTGTCCTTGGAGGAGCTGGTGTCCAAGCATGAGCAGGGAGTGCACACAGCACTGCCCCGCCGTGCTTTCCAGAATTGGTTTTATACTTTAACACTGGCTGTGGCTTGTAATTTTCCATCCTTGCTCAGAAATTATAGAGGAGTGAAAGGGAGATGGGTTTCAGCTGTCGCCGCTTCAGGAGCATTCAGCAGCATTGCTGGATGAAAGGAGCAACGTGGTCTTTTTGCTCTGCAGAGGTCTCAGAAATACCCAGGCATGAAGTGTGGTTTTGGGCTTGGTGAGAGGGAAGGCAGAAGCTGGTGCCAGCCCTTGGTCCTTCCTTGGCTGCTGGAGCTCTTTGAGGATGTCATACATCTGGTGCTTTCCCATTTAGTCCTTTCAAGAGCCTCATTTGAGAGCAAGGTTTGTAAGGAAGAGCCAGGAATACACAGCTCATGATGCCATTTGTGGGATGAGAGGAAAATACTAAGAGAATTGTTAAAGATGGGACAGTCAGTGAATTAAAGCTTGGTTATTAATGGACATGACATTTTTCTATGGCTGTTAGAAAGACTGTGTGGGTTACAACAGGACTTTTCCCATAGTATGTGGAGGAAAGAAAAACCTTTGTGTCTGTAACACAGCAGCTAATGAGACATTATCTTGCAAATAAGATAATAAGCATTATCTTATTTTCAAGATAATGTCTCATTCTCTCTAACAGAGAGCCTGAGATGCAGGGGATGTCCTTCCACCAGTGCTCTGCACTCTTCTGCAGGAGTTTGCAGGACTTCTCTCCCCTTGGCCTCACTCAGTCCCACCAAGCAGCAGTAAAATCACCCCTCCTTCAGGGAGGACCCTCTAGTTAAAATTTTTGTTTCTCTCTCAAAGCTTTTAGAAAGTTCTTCATGAGGTTTAACCTCTGTGCCCCATCAGTTCAGTTGCTGCTCCTCCAGATAGTCTAAGCTGCATTGTCTCATTTTTACTGGTGACTACAGCCAGTTATCACAGTTCCTGTGTCCTGTTCGTGTTAGCCACGGTGACCATCAGCTTTTGAATCCCCACTTACGTCAGTTCCTTGGCCAGCTGTTCCCTCCCAGCTCAGGAGTGCAGGGTTGGCACAGCAGAAGGGCGCTGTGCTCCGGGGTGACCAACACAAACACAAGAAGAGTCCCCAGTGCATGAAAGCGCTGTGCCATTGCAAAGAGGAGTGGTAGATAATGTCTGAGTTAATATTGACCTGGGACTGTTGCCAGGGTGGCACAGCAAGAACAAACATGCCAGGAACCACTGCAGTGTGAGGGATCACGTGTTGGCCAGAGGACGAGCGTGGGAGGGCAGGGCCATGGCTTCAGTGCTGCCCAGGACCATCACAGGACACCCTGCCATGGGGGAAGAGGGTCACACTCAGTTGCTCCTCCTCTCCCCAGGGCATAAGAATAAACAGCCTTTTAATGGCACTGTGCACATCACCAGGGCTCCAGCAAGCCTTTTCAGAGCCCTTGGGATTTGTTATTAATGGGGGAAGCAGTGGCACTGTGTTGGTGTCAGTAAGAAGGGCGATGTCAGAGAGGCTGAGACCACGTGTGCTCGTGACCCAGAGGAGGACATTGCTTTTGGACCACTCTGGGTCCTTCATAGGTACAGGTCTCTAACCCTGGAAACATCACAAGGGCTGTGAACCAGCTCTGCCTTCTAATATATAATCATGCCTGTAGACCAGCACATCAGAGAGGTCACTGGAATTGACATGACTCCTACCAATGGGGTTTAGCAGCTCTCTTGGAGACATCTCCTATTAATAAGTTATTACCTGAAATGGAGGAGGGGAAGTGACAGTTTTGTGGAAGAGGTGAATTAGAAGCAGCATTGATGTCAACTTGCAGACTGCTGATGCTATTTTTCACTTGTTTTAGCACATCTGCTGTGTGAGTGCAGTGGGGTGCACTCATTGCTCCCCCTTCATACCACAAGATGTTTTTGCTGGATCACCAGCCTTGGACAGACAAGAGTTGTGTAGCCCAAACCTGGGCAATTTTCTTCCATTCTCTTAGACAAGGTGCTGGGATGCCAGAGCAGCCCCTCACCTGCAGCCCTGTTGTGCAATTTGTTTGCCCACAATGCTAAACCCCTTTAAATGTTGCCAGAAGAATGATCTGGAGAGTCTTTCCCATTGCTTTATTCCTCCTGGGTGCCATTTCAGTGATATTCGCATTTAAAAAATAGTCTCAGTAAGTACAGAGTATACCACCACATTTGGTCCTTTAAGGGGCTGTGTAAGGATAAAAGCATCACTTTAATACATGCAATTTGTATAAAATTATCTGACAGTGAGTGTTCAGAATGACCCCACCTGCAGCTCTGAGTCGTAGCAGCAATTTTGACTAGGAGGTGGACATTTTATCAACTATGATTTTCTCAAATTTGGGGAACTGGAGAGAGACAGCACTTCAAGAGACCTGCAAAAAAACCAAACCAAAAGTCAGACAAATAAGGAGTTTGCAGAGGTTTACCAGCCACACAGGGAACCATACCTCTAAATCAGTAAATTGCTCCCACTCAAACCAGTTTTGGACAAATTAGTAATTTCCCTGCATGCAAAGATGCTGTGCAGTTTATTTACATATTTTGGGGGCTAGCTAACATCCTTGTTCTTCTCTGAAGTCTGCCTTTGCTTCAGTTTCTGTGTGAGAGAGGAGAAAATAGTGAACCACAAACCCGCTTCCCACTGAGAAATCACAACAGCTGTTAAAAGTTATTGGAAAATCAAAGGGCTTGTGTGAGAAAAGAAACACAGCTAATCCCAGCCTGGGAGTTACTGCTCCAGCACCTGGTTTTTCCTGCTGCCTCTCACTGCTGTTCTTTATGTCCTTCTGGTGTGGGACCTGTCAAGGAGAAGAACCAGCCTTTGGATGCAAGAGAAAGGATAACTCCCCAAGTACATGTGCTTCAAGGTGTCTTAAAAGGGGCAGATCCCATAAAATGGAGAATAAAGTTCCTGTCAAGAAAGCTGCTACAGCTCAGCACTTCAGAGCAGCCTGGAGATGCAGGAATCAGGGATGTGCCTCCATAAAATGGTTAATAGATTAGTGCCAGCCAGTGATTATGTGAATCATTGAGCACATCATGGCTGTGCAATGCTGGAGATGTCTGAGACACTGACCTACCAAAACTGGCAGTGCCGCTGCTCAGCTCTTCTGCCTAAGTGTGGAGGTGACTGCTGAACCCACTGGCAGTTCAGCACATGCTGCATGTGTTTTATGAGGCAAAAGAAATGTTTGGGCAGAGGCAAAATCCACTGCTGGCCTGAAGGCAGAGCCACATGAGATCTGACTGGCAGGTAATTGCAGAAACACTTGGGTTTCTTTCCTTAGGGCCGAGCATGCCAAAGTCAGGTCTGATGCAGGTGAGTGTGATGTGCTTGGGTGCTTGGCTGGGTCCGTGTGGATCTACAGTGTGCTCAGGGAACACAGAGAAGGGGTCACTGCTGGACTGGACAGAGGAAGAGACTTGTGGCCTTTCCCAGTGTGACGGGGACAGAGGACACCACGTCCTGACCCATCCCCACACCCACCCCCAGCACAGGGTGTTTGCATACGCTGGAACTAAACTGGCCAGGAGCTCCACTGTGTCCCTACACACATAACGCACTTCCCATGCCTCAAAAAACGACAGGAAAGCAGCCAGCCCCGTGTCTGTGTCTGAGGGGGCAACTGAGCTGCCTGAGGCCAAATGTCATCATCTTGTGCATCATCTCTGAGTGCAGAGAGAACGCCCGGGGCAGGGGGGATGTGGGGATCCATGCCCAAGTGACAGGGCCGGCAGTGCTGGAGCCGTGCCCGCGGCTCGCCCAGGCCGCAGCACCGCCTGCCCACACGGCCCTGCCCC